GGGGGAGAGCTTTTGAAACTGAACGAAGAAATTCAGTGTCCTCAAAATGAATCTCTGAGTGTTCTCTGCAGCCTGTAAGCTGTCGGGAAAGCATGCCTTAAAACAAGAAATATCATCTTCAGGTAACTATACAACTAAGAATAATAAATCTTTGTTAAAATCAGGCACTGGTTGAATCGTTTGCAAATTTAAGCGCATACCTCAAGTCTGCATACATGTTGTCCTAGTTCCCGTTGTGATTCTGGAAAACTCGTAACATCACATTCGTAGGTGAAGCTCGAAACGATAAGGGTGGCTCCCAGTAAGAGCAGAAGCATGTCAAATGACAATATCGTCATCGGCTCGCCTTATGTACCTCCTCGTCTCCGCCTTCCACATCTTGACAGCCAATGGTGACTAGACCTCAGGCACTAACGTAAGCTATCATTGAGTACATTTCTTTGGGCTACTGAGATTACATCCTGGTCAAATCTACCATTACTAGAGCAAGGTAGAGAAGTAGTTTTGAAGTGTATAAAGCTGCGCTAAAATTCCGTTTCCACTCACCAAACGTCTTTCCGTGAGTGGGTTTGCAGAACCAAAATAAACTTCAAAGCCTGTTTTCCACTTCTCAAACATACAAAATTTCCATCAAGCAATATTCATACCAATGTTACCTTAGCATGTAAGTCTCAGATTCTATCACCTTCATCTCTAACAACACCATTTCTGGGAAAACCAAGAAATTCGAAGACCTTACCACCAACAAGGAGACGGTACCCTTACGAACTCAATATTTTAGTCAATTGAACTGCAAAGGCTTCATGGCGTGACAATGCATTCGTAATGACGATTCTTCTGATGAAAAGCACATACATCAGATGAGAATAGTCGGAATTTCTTTCGGTTTTACTATAAACATGCACGACGTCAGGGGCTGTATGACGATCTTTAGTCAATCATTCCCAGAATCATGATCATTTTCGGGAACCGCGTGAATCACTCCATACATTATGAACTACTGAAAAGGAGATTACGGTAGTTATAGCGTGCATGCTACCTTTGCAATGCAACAAATCCCGGAATTGCTCCGAGATTGTCATGTTTTTACGCTTGCAACTTTCAGAACAGATGAACTCCGGTCTGTCTGCCTCTCACTAATCTAAGCAATCAAAGGGCAAAATTTATGCAAATAGGTAATGACGCACACCTCCACCACTTACTTAAGAATGCTTCCTCGACCTCAATATAGCAATAAACCACAAGCATCGTAAATTCGTTTATTTAGTTAATAATATTTAACTCACAACCTCGAAGAAACAGCACAAGGATTGGGAATGTCACTGGCGTAATCACTTTAATATTATATAGTCACACATAAAACTTTCTCTGAAACGTTGCACGCCGTAAGTAGCTCGTACGTCTTGGCTCGAAAATCGGAGTAAAATGGAAAATCTACACATACATGTTAGATTGGCAAGCGAATTATGCACATTATAGGAAGTGAATAAGGGATACGCGCAAGACCTCTTCTAAACACTGCCGCGTTTTAGTTTCTTAGCTGAAGATGAGAATCAAGATGGATGAGTTAATTTGTGCAACGCATCGAAATCTTTGGCAGGGTTAGAGGCGATATAATTATATATTAGAAATAAGAGAAATGAACAAAAGATCGGCGACTAGATTGCACATAATATATAATTATATTCGTAATGTACAATGAGTGAGAAGTGCATTAGGCGAACATCACAACAACATCTACACGGACTAGAGCTTCAAATCTCGAAAATTCAAAAGAAAAGTGGATACAATTGTTTACATAATACGTGTTCTCTTCAACAGCATCACATCCAGTAATGCACATATAGATACAGTTAACCTAATACTAGCAGACTAGACAAGATGTGTCATGTTATACACTGATGGAAGAGTTCGGAATTTCAAACTAGCATCTGCACCGCAAGAGAAAAGTCGCACTTGTTGGTCAATATAAAGTTGTTGCACACCTTGTACCGTCGATTGCGCAACTAAACATGAAAACTTCTGAACTCTTAACAATTCTTCAAAAAACAATGAGTCAGTTCGAAACTTAAGGAGGTTACAGAGAAAGCTATCATGTCATTGCAAAAGCAGGAAGTGTACCAGAAAACTGAGTGCACCTACCAGTAAATACGGAAACGAAAACGATAGAAATTCCATGAACCGACCTTGTCTAAAAGAGAATCCGCCTTTAGCCGCGTGTTCACCAGGAAGTGAGTACATTAACTGTGGATTTGCATCGGCGGACCATATCTGAGGATCATAATCATGAAGATTTATAGATGAGTATACATAAAAACTATACCTTTATATCACCGTCACTTGACCCGGCTACAATCAGATCTTGTGTATGGTCAGTAACCAGAGCCTTCACAATCTGATGAGACTCGAATGCTTTGATAGTTCCACGCAGTTGACGTTGACGTATGTCCCACAAGCATAAATCGCCGTGTCGACCACCGGACACGATTGTCTGAAGAGAAGAAAAACCAGATGATCAAAATCCATAAATCCCTGCTGAACGACAAGAAAACTCAGCATAAATGAATTTTATATGACCTCGTAGATACCAGCACGATTCTGCTAAAATTACGAAGTACGTCATTGCTTCATTTCGAGTAACATCTTGCGGAGCATCAATAAATGACAAATTAACTCGGATGAACTCCCTTCACCCTCCTATCCCTCAAGAAAACGATTCACATTTCATGAGAGATAGATATAAAAGCTTCAAAATTTATCTTACAAAGTTTTCTGGAGGAATATGGTAGGATAGTCAGAAGCTCACAACCAAAAGTTCTACATAGATACATCGAGAAACGAGAGCAAATGTTGCTCAGCGCTACATTAAGATGTTTTTCAAAACTCTTACACACTGTTCACAAATCAAAAATATTATCATGACATTTGTATCGAACATGAACGACTACACTATATTGTTAAACGAAACATCAAAAGCTGTTTCTGAAGAGCATTTTGATAGCCACATCTCCACAATTTTACGGGT